CGTTGCCTTCGGAAGCCCATAAGAAGAGAGGAGGCAGGCTTCGGACAGGCCACAGAGAGGCCGCAAGAGGCCTGCCGGCTGCCGAGAAGCTTCGGACAAGCCACAGAGAGGCCGCAAGAGGCCGAAAAGCTTTTGAAGGCGGTCCAAAATGCCTAAACGTCGCCTTCGGAAGCTGATAAGAAGAGAGGAGGCAGGCTTCGGACAGGCCACAGAGAGGCCGCAACAGGTGAGGCCTCGGACAGGCCTTTGGAAGTGCTTGGAAGGGTTCTGCTAGGCTTGGCCAACTGCTGCATCCTGCGCCTTTGGAAGTGCTTGAAGGGTTCTGCTAGGCTTGGCCAACTGCTTCACCCTGCGGTGTCCCAGGCGCCTCCCCGCCTAGGCTTTGGCTATAGGCCGGGGTCGGCGGATTCTAACTCTCTGGCAAGAGACCTTTACCCAAACAGTGTTCGGTAGAATAAAAGCAGTGCGTACAACGGAATGGAGCAGCGATTTTTTTCCGCGCGCATGGCCGGCGCTGAGGCTGCAGGTGTCATAGCTTTGCTGTCCATGCACCGGTATGAGAGCACACATGTGAGAGCAAACAAACACATGAGAGCACGAATATGAGGAAGCAAACATGTGAGAGCATAAACAAGAGAGATAAAATTTCAGACTTAGGTCACCATGTTCACTGAAGCCTTTAAGCTCTCGGCGGCTCGCTGGCCATCGTCGCAGCGCCACCATATGCTGTGTCAGCTTTCGACCTTGGCCGACTCAAGTCCACTCTTTTGAGAAACAGCTCCCATCACTTCCCATCTGTTCACAGCTCAGTTTCACATCTGTTTTCAGTTTCACATGTCCATTCTCCAAACTCTGTTCATCTGAGAACAACACTTTTGCGGATTGCTTTCGAAGGTGGACTGCGAGGACTCAGCAGCCGGAGCGGCAGCTCCTGCATATGAGACCTGGATCTGAAAGTTTTCGTGACTTTGTCGCAACAAAATGTCTTTGAAATCTTTGTCCAACTTCCCTTGCCAAATGTCCCAAAATGCTTTCTAAGCAGTATTGCCTGCGCTGAGCTCTGCTTCGGCTGTGACTCGAAAACAGACTGCTCGGACTTAGATGTGACGCAGTTTGAAAGGAAACACTGCCGGAAAATGCTGGAAAAAGAAACAGAAAATGAAAGAAGGGAAAGCATAAGGCATAGCTGCGATGTCCAATTCTGCTTCTGCGAGCTGAGAGCAGCGCAGCCACGCCCGTTGCAGTGCTGGAAGCTGTTGTATCCGCCTCCGAACTCACAGGTGTTGGACTTACGATCTTGCATGCAGCTGGCCCAGCTCCCATTCACAGGCTTCGACTTCAAAAAACAGTTGGCTTCTTGAGATTCCTTCCGTGGGTTCTCTCATGCGTACTTCATAAACGAAGAGATCCGCGCTCTTACGAAAAGGACTGAAGAGAAGCAAATCAGCCTAGAGCAGCTCTTGTCGCTGCTTTTTCATGCTTTTTCTATCTTTTTCTCTCTGCATCTGGCGAAACCAAGGTCCTTACCTTGATTTACGGAAAATCACCCGTACGAAAGGAGCAAGAACTTGCCAAGCAGAAAGGAGCGTTCTAGAAGGTTTCGCCGGTTTCGCCACTGAAGTCTTCGGAGAACTTGTCCAATCCACACGGCCCCTTCCATGCTTCATCGGCAGGATGGAGGCAGGCTAGTGCCTGAAAACTTAAACTGGAAAGCGGGCCCTGCATGGCCCTGCCCAAAGCTGTAGTTCAAACTTTGCAGCTATCGAGCCCTCGTGACGGAGCTGTAGCTGAACAGAAGCTCAGTGCTGCTCCATGCTGCTTGCTATGCTATAGTCACTTTTTCACTCAGGGATTTCCATCTCAGACTCCGCTTCCTCTGACTCTGCTGAAGCTTCCTGGTGTGTTGGATTCTGCTTACACAAGGCTCAGGTCTGGGATGCCTGGCACATCAACTGAGATGCGAGCGGCAATGTGCCGGCTTGCGAGGCCAAACGCACGTTCTGCCTCTAGCTGACTCTCGACGGACAGGAAAGCCTTGCCGCATCCGAGCAAAATGAAGAAAACTTTCGGGCATCAATGTTTTTGAGTCTGTCTTTAGGCCTTGAAACTGACCTCATCCTCCGTCATTCCCTCAACCTCGGCTAAAACACGGGACATTGCCTTCAAACTATTGGTTTGAATGCATAAGGAACAGGCTGCCACAGGGATGGCCTTGCAGTGTGTTTACAGCGTTCAGTCCGACACCCTCGACTGCTTCCGCGGCAAAGAGATTGGAGCTGAGACCAAGGCAATTTTGCCCTTGACTAGTCTCACGTTTGGACCATAATCACATCCACCTGTGCCTCAGGATTCATCAAGGCATCTGTGCCCACCAGCGTTCGTGTCTAATCTTGCACACCTGATCCGTCCTGAGCTACAGGCACTTGCCCCATTCAACCCTTGGGGCTGGCCAACCTGCCTCAGGGGCAAAAGTATCCCAGCTTACAGCAAAAGAGAGAGCTCGCGAATTCCAAGATTGCAGTTGAGAAACCTCAGCAGCATTTCTCGCTGTCTGTTGGAGGGCTCCAAGCGGGTTGTAGCCGTTTCCAGCATTGCGGCTAACCTCAGCATGGAGCTTGTGGAATTTGAGAAGAAAGAGCGAAAGCCTCCTGCTGAGGCAAAGGCACACTTCTCGCAAACTCGCAAGGCAAATTGAGGGGGTTGTGCATTGGCTGCTGGAAGCCTAACCAACGTGCATGGGCGTTGGCTCTCTTGTTTGGGCAGGCTGTAGCTCTGACTCCTCTAGAGTCAGTTCTTTTCGAGTTCGTGTGCCTCTCCCTGAAAGTGAAAATTGCCGCTGCGAGAAGGGCAAGCACCTCAGGTAAGATTTTATAATTGTGGATTGCATGGCATATTGCAAAGGCACAATTGGCATCGTTGGCATGTCAATTCGCAGTGCAGCAGAGTTGCAAGCTGCCTTTTCAGCGAGAACCTGCTGTTTCAAATGTTTGTCTTCCAGTCTAATGGAAAGGAACCTGTTGCTAAACCCTCATGCCGCATGCCTGCAGAAGCCGGTTGCCATGTCTGAGCCTTGGAGCCTTGGTTGCTTGGACATCACACCAGCAGTCCCTTTGTCGGAATACCTCACGTTGATTGCATGTCCCACAAGAACAAGCAATCATAAACGGTTTCGAGGTGCTTCGGGTTTGCATCAAAAGGACATGTGACATGTGGATTTGCACAACTCAGGTCACCACAGCTCTACACGGCCGAAAGGCTAAATGCTAAATACGCTGAGCCAAGAATCGGGCAAAAGATATTGGATGCAAATCTCAAAACAAGGCAATTCCTGCTCATCGGGAGACGAAATCAAGAACCCGAAAATGAGAGGCTGCCCAGTGCCTTGCTTTGTTGAGGCTTGCTCTCAAACACGGACTCCTGCTGCGAGTTCTCCCTGACAAACAAGCAAGGGAATTCTTGGTCATCTGAGCACAGAAAGTTACCAAAAATAAACTCTATAAAGCATCTAAGTCCTAGACACAGTAGCACCACTGGGACAATCTGCGGCACTTGCTCTAGGCTGGCTCTCAAAGGTCGATGGGACACTGCCACTGTCAACGCTGACCTGCGCATCCATCCAGGTAGTTGATTCTACGAGATTCCATATGCCATATTCTATGTCCAGGACAGTCACACAAGAAATGAAAGCAGCTCGCATTTGGGCTGACATGCGCCCAACGAATGCTTGTTCATTGAAACAAGGATTCCCAGCATCGTTGGGCTGTCAAATCAATCTGTCGAGTGGGTCAGCTGTACAGCAAAACATGTGCTACGCTCCCAACCTAAATTGGGGCAGCAAATTAATCCAGAGGAACCAGCCGCAGCTACAAGCTGTTGGCTTGGAACTCGGAACCGCTGCACAATGGAAACTTCAATGGCAAGCTATAAAGTTGAGGTAGGAGGAAATCAGGTTCCCACCAACTCCTGCACTGCTTGCCAAGGACAAAAAGAGAAGCCTCTGGCACTGCCACAGACCTGTCAGCAAATGGCAACAGGTCTGTTTCGTGTGGTACAAGAAAAAATAAGGCAAACAAGAATGTCTGTATAATTTTGGATCCCTAGCAATGTATGTTACAAAAAATTGAGTACCCATCGAGTTGACCTGCACAAAAGCCCCCCAGCCCAAGAGGTTTCGCGCCTTTGCAGTCATTCAAACGTCACTGCAGAGTGCAATTCCTTGTGAAAGAGTCCTTCAAAAAGGGTTATTAGCCGTGAAAACATCAACTTCAAACAAGGACGACATCACTGATCTTGCTCACGTTACTTCTGCCACGAGGCCTCATCTGCCAGGAGCTTCTATGCGTAGCACCTCGGGAAGTATAAGATGTCGTTTGCCCTACATCATTTCTTGTCCTTTCCTTGGCCTTTGGAACTTTCTTTAGTTCCTTCCTTGCTGGCTTCCTTGCTTGCTTGTTTCCCTACTTGCTTGCTTCCTTGCTTGCTTCCTTCCTTGCTTGCGTCTTTGCTTCCTTCCATCGTCCGTGCGTCTGTCCTTCCTTCCTTCCTTCCTTCCTTCCTTCCTTGCTTGCTTGCTTGCTTGCTTGCTTGC